GTTGCCCAGAGAAGCTGTGGCTGCCCCATCCCTGGAAGTGTCCCAGGCCAGGTTAGACGGGGCTTGGAGCAACCTGGTCCAGTGGAAGGTGTCCCTGCCCATGGCAAGGGGTGGGATTGGATGAGCTTTAAGATCCCTTCCAACTCAAACCATCACACACACATTCCTCACTTCTATTGGGTGTTCCCCGTAGAAGTGCGGTTTGAATAAAATTTTTTTTTAAATTTTTTTTTTAAATTACTGGTTTTAAGAGCAGTGCCCTATCACTGCTGAACATCTCCAGATGTTTCTGGTGGGACCATTCTCCCAGCAGTTCAACACCAGACACTTTCCCAACACCTGCCAGCTCCATGGCCACCTCCACCTCAGCCAAGAAAGCGAACCCTTTGCACAGCAAAAATGAATTTCCTTCCAAGAATGCACTGACTCCTTTTCCTGTAGGATACAAATTCCACTTGCCAACATACACACCAAGAGGTTCAAATTGGCAGGGAGTTAAAAAAAAATAAAAACCCCTCATATAATTTTGCTTGGCTAGAGATGGTAACAGCTATTCCTGGGAATTTGACAGCATTAATAAAGAAAAAGAACCAACATAGCTTATGCATGGGTGTCTTCTGCTGGCCCTCCTCCCACTCCTGCCCCTCCTCCCACTCCTGCCCTTCCCTCCTCCCCTTTCCCATTCCAAACCTGAATAGCAGGACTCCTACAAAAGGCATTAAAAATCTAACTGAAAACACCAGCTGCCTTTTAAAGGATTTTCTCAGGCTTCAAAGCCGTTTCTTGGTCCAACTAAACCACACATTTGTTTGAAAAGCAACGTCAAAGTGGCCTCAAAACAGGAAAAGGGAGCAGATGAGTTACATAATGGGAAATTTCCCCCTTGTAGGAAATTCCTCTGCTCAATATTAGACTTCTTGGAAGGTTTCTGAACACTCTACTCCATCCATGGATTTTCAAGAATCTCTACTGTCAAGATGGTCAGGAAAAAGTTCAAAATTAGGGAAAAATACCCATCTAGGAGTCATATTAACTACTTGTGCCTAAATTTTAGCAATGAATAAGAAAAAGGAGCCCTTCTTAATGCCCTGCCCTTGGTGATGCCCAAGGAAAGGACCTGTTCTTGGTCACAGAGGCACCAACACACAGGATGGAAGCCAAAGTGGCTAGTCATTATATTTTACCTATAAGTCTTAAACCGTCAACAAGATATAATTTTATACAGGAAAATAAAATCAGCATATTCATCTAAAAAGAAAAAGAACGAAAAACAGAATATACAAAAAAATCCACCTGCTTTACTTTTGTCCCAAAGAATATAATTTTCTTTCCTTAAGTACCAACACCTTTTTCTCAAATGGGGCTAGAATGATTCCATAAATAATGAATGGGAAGGATTTATTTAAAATGCACCAGTCTTATTTAAATCACTTCCACTTTCATCAGAGACTGTCACTGCACTTGTTTTCATTAGTGAATTGTGTTGGGTGCTGCCTGACCTCTCAAAAAATTCAAAGAGAAGGTTTTTGTATTTTCACCTGGTCAACAAGTAATCCCTGCTGTAAGGTTTTAGTTTGTATGTATTATTTTATTATTTTATTTTATTGCACTATTTTCTATTTTATTTTACATTTTTTACTTTATTTTATTTTATTTAACACAGAATTCTTTTGTTTGCATTAACATGGCAGCCTCTAACATGTCAGCAGTGAGTTACATGTCTGTCTTAACTTTTTGGTTAATGTAAATAAATTGGTTAAATGGATGTTCAGCTGCTCATGACCGACTCACCTTCACAGCTTTACAGTGTGATGCTTTAATTAAAACTCCAAATTCCTCCAACAGAAAAAAAAAAGCTTGTTTTAAGCTATAAAAAGACACCTAAAATACATATGTATTTTTTAAAAGGTGGGTGTCTCTGTGTGTACACTTGCAAAAGACTTTTTTTCCAGGCCAGGGAACCACTGCTGCTGATCAGATCTCCAGCCTGTGGTGGTGAAGTGCAAGAGTATGATCATTCCTGACATGGGAATCCACCACAGCCCAGGAGCAGCCCTGCTGCTCCAGTTTTCCCACCCAACAGCTATTCCATGCCATTCCTATTGCAATCCCATGCCTCTCTTTCCATTACAGCCCTTTGCAAAGCCTGAACACACCAGGGAAGCCAGTTGGCTCCTGTGCTTGTGCAGCTGAGAGGTGTCTTCCCAAGGCTCCATCCCAGCCGTGTTTCTTCTGTGACTTCTCATGTTTGCATGGGATGAAATGAAGGAAAAGATGGTTTTAGCAGAGCGGGAGAAAAGCAGAAACACCACCTGTTTCAGTTTAACAGGCTCCTTCCAAACCACTTGCCAAGAACTGGAAGTTTCTACCGCGCTTCCAAAATAAACATGT